TATTCTCATTCCAGTAATTTAAAAACACTGTCCTTTCTAACTTTTTACCATATTGAATTATGATCAATGCAAATAATGAATATTGATGTTACATTTTATGTGAGAAAGATCCATAGAATTTCAAAGAGCTTCTTTTTCCTTCAATGTCAGATTAATTGCATTGATAATTTTCTCAGTTGGTCTACTCAGTTACGGCAAGTAATGTTTGAACGGATTAGTTCAGAATGTTGGAAGGCAGAGGCGCAGTCTGGTTTCTTTGATTCTCTCAAATTAAATGTAAACTTTTCATATGTGTGGGTGTGTTCTATAGCACTATCCACTCATGTCTTATTAGTCACTTTAATAAAGTACAACTCCAGTAGATTTGACAGTGACTCACAAGCTTTTTGATAGAACTAGGCTGAGGGAGAATGTTTTAATCACAAAATGATTGTTTTTGTTTGATCCTTAGATGCATTGAAAAATACAAAATAAGCATATCATATTCTCCACACCTGTTTGTTACCTCATGTAATCATAGATACTAATGTGTTCAGCCGTATTAAAGGTAATACAAAGTTTTGAGAAATTTTGAAAATTTGGTGAATAGTGAATCTTTACAATTTTGATATATTTGGATGCCCCTGTGGATGTATTATAAGCACAAAAACAATTGGCCCCTAAAACTCTGTTTTCGAGAAAAATTGAATATAAAAATGTACCGGTGCTCCCAGTAAATTTTAATAAATTTCAAATTTTTAGCACCTATGGCCGTACATTGGTAGCTGCGACGATGAAAATCTCAGAATATGTAGTTGTGATATATAATTTCCAAACAGGAATAGCTAATTGGTCGATTTTAGTCAAAAACCATTGTTTCATAGCTAAATTAATATCTTGACCTTGAGAGGGAGCTATTCAACATAAAGAGTTTATTATTTACAATTTCATAACTTTAGACTCGATTTCAACCGCGAAAACGATCAATGAATATTGTAGGAACGCATATGCTTACAATATGTAAATTTGAACCAAATTCATGACCCCATACCAAAACTTTGTAATACCTTTAATCAACTTCAAATGAATGTATGATGGCATCAGGGGTATTCCTAACAAACGTCCTTGGGCTCTCAGCATTCAATGTATATCATATCCGAACATCAGAAGGTACTTTCCATACATGTTACATTCTAAAGTTGTTTACGATTCACAATGTAATCGTAGAGGCAGGAGTGGGCTACAAAGATCTACACACAATGAAGAGGGTCAGTGCCCTTGTTGCTTTCACTTTGGATCATGTGTGTCTTATCTAGGTTGCCATGTGTGACTGGCCTCTATATTAACCGGCCCTCTGCTCGATGCTAGAGTACTGGGCAAAGAAGAACGGATCAATTGGCTTGTTGATTCAAGGTGGAGTTTCCTATAAATAGAAAAACTCAGACACCTTCTTTTCCATCCGACACTTTTTCAATAATGCGCAGTAAGAATGACTCCAGGCGACGAGTAAATTAGCAATGTAAGACAGTCTACACGTGGTTCGGGTCACCCCCCAGAGATACACGAGAAAGGAACTTGAGCGGTCTTGTCTATATTAAATTGATGGAACTTTGTTTTCAACTGTCTGCACAATGTTGAAGACGTGTTTGGAATTAATCTGATAATGTATTAATGAAGATAGCCATTGCATGTATTTTTATCATGTAATTCTTTAAAAGAGCTTTGTACTTGTTCATGCATTTTGCTAATATACATTATTATGAGTTTATGGATATTTTTGTCTAACTTCTGATGTGTCCATGATCTCATATAATCAATTTGCATGATTCCATTTGTATGATACAGATATCTGTATCATTTGCAAAATTCAAGACATGAATGCTGCTTGTTATTTTATTTATTGACAGGAAAATAAGGAAATTTAATTTTTTATCTTATCAATGAGTGATACATGTGTTTTTATTATTGATTAAATATTTGTAAATACAGCTTGTTTTACCTATAAGATAAGCATTGATGGTGTTCGTGGTATATCTTTCATTGATGATACTGTGAACCCCCAAAAAATATTCTTAGGCAAAAACTAAAAAAGCGACCTAAGCATAGTGCACTTCTTGAATTTTTATCTTAACACATACATTGGTAAGTTCTTTTAATCCCCACTGTACTACTTGTAGCTACTTTGCTCCCTCTATATAGAAAACAAGTCCTAATCGGTGACCATTGATCCACATGATCCTCTTTTTCTTATGTTAACTGAGAGCTGAGTTGATGAGATAGCCACCTGTCAGTGACCACCCTGGGTGGTCTAATCCCTCTTAGCCAAACTAGGACAGACGGGCTGTAAGGGCTGTATTTTTATACAGCTAATTCTTTTAAACCTCAAAATATAAAATGTTTTTATTTGCTCTTGATATTCTTTTTGAGTATGTTCATATCTACTAAAGATCTGAGAGTCTTTTTATTTAAAGTTCTTTCACTTTCCAGGAGGTTATCTGTCATCAATGTACCATCAAACCAGCATTTTTCCTAAATTTCATATGTGATTGAGATCTTAAAATGCCTCATTGTGTGATATGTTATTATTGCACTGACTCACGACCTGAAATATTTGAAAATTTGAAAATTTCTTTCCATGAAAAATTGTCATAATTATCAATTCCCAAAATTGTATAGTTTACAAGAACCTGATAATTCTTAGATCCTGAGATGGTTATTCTTGGTATGACTCTCATGTTTAGGTTAGGCATAAAGTTTAATAAAAAGTCAGACATTTTTATAAACCCCATTTCTAAACTCCATTTCTAAAAAATGTCCCAATACATGTATGTACATGAGTGAAGGTTACACATACATCAATGTGTTAAAAATCTGAATATAGTTTACAATGAACTATATATTTGGCAGCTAAAATAAAGCTTTACAACTTGTATTTTCTGAAATTAAAAATGCCTGTACTGACTTGAATATCATGGCCATCATACATATTCCATGTACACATTGAATACATCTTGGTATTTTCCACAATCGATGTTTTCACACCAATCCCAACTGGAGGAGATTGCATGTGATTACCGGCAGGCATCTCCCACCCTTCCAGAAGTGTTGGTTCACGTGTGATGTCGCACTCAGAAATCCACGCTACGTGCCTGCTTCAATATAAATGTGTTAAAATGCTGCACCTAGAGCACGACGGCAAACAGTGCCAGTAGGAAACACTCCTTGGACCTGTTTCACAAAGCCTCTTTTCAATGACAAATGACAAAAATCAGTGACAAATCTGCTGATAACCAATCAGAAGCAAGGATTTTGGTAGCTTATAACAAAAACTGTCATTTGTCACTGATGACAAGTTTCGTGAAACACCCCTGTATGCTGAAAGAGTGATTTTTATTGCATGGTTTAGTCAAGTATTGGGAATATCAATAGCGGGGAAAGAAAATTCCAAATATGATAGATCTATTGCAAAGTGCAAAAATCCTTCAAATCTTGTATTTAAAAAAAAGTAATCCTTTAATCTGAACATTGGTTAAAAATTAAGACAATTTGACAAAACCAGACTCTACACCTAATTTCAAGTTAGAATTTACATAATTTGCTAAGAGGTCTTTTTATAAAAAGGAGGATCCAAATTGAAGGCATTTTTATTGATAACCGTGGAAACAATCCTTGTCTGTATTGTAATCTTGATTTACAGGGAGTAAGTGTGTCTGGCAATTACTTTATTTGTGGCATGTATATCTGGCCAGCAGTAAATCAATGTGCATTTAACCTGGCACAATAAAATAGAAAAACAGTAATCTTATCAAATATTGTGGGCTTAGGGCACTTCTTCATCATGTTTACATAGCTGCATTCTTGAAGAGAGTTTCTTTTCTTGGAACACATCTTAATCATGGCCCTCCTAGTCTATCGATCGGTTGTTTCTCTCTAAACGAAGACCATGGCAGAGTTTGGGGTCCAAATTCTAAATCGTGAGTGAACTCGAGATGACATGGATGTGCTGTTTGTATTAGCTAGTAGGGAACAGTTCAGATGAAGATTTCCTGAAAATGAATTGTCATCGTCGTCTTGTGTTACACGCATCTCATTGAGAATTCAGCAGCTGTTTGAGTGGAGAGACAGTGAAGTATCTTTAACCAGAATACACTTAGAGACAAAAGTCCACTGGATCGATCTTTCATATCTTTGGTTGCAGTTTTTTACACTTTTCTTGGTAAAGGATATCTTGCAAACAGTTTTTGTAAGAAATCGTTAGTGAAATGATAAACGGCATTTATATTTGCTGGAAATTTCTTTGAAGACCTTTTGTATGATACTACCTGTGAATCCATGGCTAGTACGCGTTCAAGGTGTTGGGTTTAGCTTGTGAAGTCATGACAAGGAGACGTCCTTGTGGTATATTCTGTGGTGAATTTTTCTCGCAGGAAAGTTAAGTAATCTCACAAACAGAATTTTTTTAAAGAACCACCGCTAAAGCAAGTGTGTTCTGCCATATTGTATCTGGATATGTCGGATGGGTTTATTGCATACAATGCAAATGATATGCAAGATTTGAAGGCTTTACACAGGGATCAGGCAGAGTGGTTTTATGCTGATGGCAAAGATTAGTGGGTTCATCCAGTGGCATATCCAGCGTAGGAAGTAGATGGTTTTGCCCCCTCTTTTTGATTGGGTTTAGAGCATGTGAGGTTGCCCACAGACATTCCCCCTCTCAGTCTGGGGAGGATTTGGTCGCCCTCTTGATCAATTTATAGATATTACTCAGTTATCATTTGCAAAGGGAGTTCACTTCCTCAAAATATCAAATATTTGAGCTGAGATTGATGTTATAATAGTGCATGTTTAGATTTGCTTCTTTTCACCCCCTCTTAACCAGTAACTGGTTATTATTCCATTATCTTTCTCAAAGGGATTTCACATCTCACCCATTATGATTCATTTTATCCGAGATAAATCTTCTGCATGATGTTATATTCTGCATTTTATTCATGGTACTTTCTATCTTTCTTTTTTTCCAGGTCACGACACGTTTGAGCCGGTATCATTGACAGTGTGTTCTTTACAAAGTGGAGGTTCTACTACTGAGTTGAGAGCCCTTTTCAATGGAAGCTTCGTCTTTGTGCCTGATTCTACATTCTATCTTACCCAGGTAACAAAAGAAAGAAATTCTTACTGTTAGAGGTTTGTTTAATGTCTTATCATATACAGGTGTGGTTCGAGGAGATTGATTTGAAGGAGCCTGGGGTTCTTGCAATTATTTTCTGCATTTGCCTCACTTAAGTTTTGGATAATCTAGAACAATTTTTGGGGTTGAATTTTTTTCTTCTGGGAGGGAGGGGGGGGGGTGTTAACCACCATGCCCCCCCCCCCTCTATAATTGATCAGAATAAGTATCATGAATCCCATATAATGATGTTTAGTAGTAAATCTTGCAATTTTTAGAGCGATAAGAGTTGGATATCCGTGACAAGCCAAAGCATTAAGAAAAACCAATTCTGTAAGTAAATAGATTGCAAACAGATTCCGTCAGAAATAATGGACTTATGTTAATCACAAAATCATCTGGAGAGTGGTAGTCTGAGAATCAATATGTACAATTGCCCTGTGAGTATATTTATTATTTCCCAAGTCATTTTCAACATCTCAAACCATCTAATTATTTTGTAAATTGTTTTGTGGTTTCCTTTTTACCCTGAGATTGAGTCAATATCAAAAGCTAGTACATAAGCCTATAGTCTGGAAATTTGTTCATGTATGGTTGTGTAAAAAGTGATTTAGTACAAGGTAAAAGATAATTAAAATGCATTGTATTTTGAGATCTTAAAGCCCCACTGCACTACTTATGGCTACTTGCGCCCTCTTTATAGCAAACAATGCCTAATCGGTGCTTGTTGGTCCCCATGATCCTCTTTTTCTTATGTTAATTGAGAGCTGATTTGATGAGATAACCACCTGTCAGTGACCTTGCAGGGATGTCTAATCCCCCTGGCCAAACTAGTCAGACAGGCTTTAAAGGATATTAAACAGTGTTCAGCATAGATTTATGCCCTTCAGTAGACTATGATGCACACAGGATTACTAATCAGAACATTAAGACACAGATGAAGGCTGTGGTTTGAGTAATGAATTGATCAATTAAGCTTGTCAATCAATGAATTTATTTTTGATCTCTGATATGTCCTCATGCAGTTCCTGATCAGTAGTGTTTGGGACCCCGACTCATTGGACAATCCAGCCAGGATTAAAGGGGAGAACTTCAATCTGTGTGAGGAAGACTTCCCTAATCTGGATGCAAGACTTACTTGTGCATTCAAGCATATAGAACGGCCGCCATCTTGGAAGATTGTGACCGATTCACCCCGGATCGATCAGAGTAAGTCTAATTTATTGACTGAGTTTTAAAGCATCGTTCAAACATGACGTAGTAACTTGCTTTGGGAAAGAAGACAAACTGAGAGGCAAAGTAAAATCTAACATTTGTATTCCTAGTGTGCTTTACAATTGTGTATTTTGTATCACACAGACAAGTGAGTGTTTTCTGGCAAACCACATTTTCTTCCCCACTTGTCTGTAATCTACAGGTTTTGGGTAAAATGATATTATTTGTACATGCATGGTGTACCATGCCATGTCTGAAAGAGGGCTTACAGGGAATGTGGATTGATGGATTGAAAGAAGAAATGTGAGAAGGCATTTGTTTCTTGAACAAGGGAGAGAGAGAGAGAGAGAGAGAGAGAGAGAGAGAGAGAGAGAGAGAGCTTCCATGATATTGCCTTTGAATGAACGGATGACTGAATATGGAATTAATCATATGAAAATGATAATTAATTTATGTGCATTTTGATAGAAATAATGAAAATGTATGTTTTGTCTGCTTAGAGCCATTAGGAGACTGACTCTTGTATAGATGTATATAGTTAATGCTCTACTGGCTCTTTGCAGGAATTCATTTAAAGATCTTTATGTCCAATAGAGCAAACAGAGAAACCACCACATTTCTTATGGTAATAAATGCATTTTTAAAATAAATACAATAATGCTAGTTATTACCAATGCCTTGCTCTCCCCTTAAAAGGGCTCCCTACCTCTAGATATTGATCACTCTGGCAAAATTTGCATCATACATGTAGGTTGTTAGAATGTGTGTGCTGGGTGTGATCATAGTAGGTCCATGGTGTGATCTAGCACAGCCTCAATGGCTTTCACACCAAACATAATTGAAAGTCTTGAATTGCTTATTGAAGAGAAGCTATGTGGCCATTCCCCTGGGTCTAGCTTGCGTATACATCCATGGAGCTCCAAGATCAGCACTGTCTGGATGTGGAGCATTTTCATCATATATGATAGAGAGAGAGCATGGATGTATCTATATTTGAAGGTCACGATAAATCACATTAGTCGTTCGAGAATATTAATGTTCAGTGGACCGTGAAATCCCTTAACATTACTTTTGCGACAATTATAAAGAGAGTTCTGGTGAACTTGAAAGTGTTTTCTGCAGGGTTTTCGCTAGAGGATTATTAAAACTGTGGTGCTGATACCAAGTATGTAAACAAGATACCAAGGGCAAATTTTTCTTGGGTAAGGCTACCCACAAGGTAATAAATATGTTAAAGGTACTATGCCCCATTAGCAGGCCCAAAAATAATAAGGTAAAATTCCAATGGCATTTGAAAGATAATACTAATTTAGAACTTCCCTCAAAACTAAAGGGCTTGAAAATACCTTATTGTGACAGTTAAGTCTAGAAAGTAAATAGGTTTTCTTGCATAATTTGAATACTAGGACATTGCTAATGTGTAATTTTCATAGATAGGACATACATGACATATATTCATAATTCCCTACAAAGTTCTACAGAATTTGACGTTAGCTGCTAAAGGGATACACTACCTTTAAAGCACACTGTCATTTATCTGCAAAAGTGTGTTGATTCTCCTGCAGCAGCCCCTACAATGCTGCAAGACCATATCACTCTGAATTTGGACCTATTAAAAAACAGTGTCATGCATAGAAACCTAGAGGTCATATAGCTCGAGAGTTTTGAACAGTATTGTGCTACTATCTGCAGTAGATGTAAAAGTATTGAGGTTTTCTCAGAAATTGAAAATTCCAGTTCGAGGAATGAACAAGCTGTTGTCAGTTAAGATTAATGTAGACTTTATTATTCAAACATTTTTTTAAATAGTAGTATGCCATGATCTAAAGTAGATGTAGAAGTCTTATATTTAAAAAAAAAATCCTTACCTTCAAGATTCTCGTAAATTGATGATTCTATTTCAAGGAATTAATGAGCTGTTGTCAGTAAAGATTAATGTAGACTTTATTATTCCAAGATTTTTTTAAACACTAGTCTGGCATGATCTGAAGTAGATGTAGAAGTTTTTTAGTTTCTTTAAACCCATTTCCTTCAAGAGTCGATTTATTAAGCCTAGTGGAATAAGGGAATTAAGAAGCCATTAGGTTGAAACAAATATCACCATGGAGTTGGTAAAATGAGGGAATTAAGAGCACTGATATGAGCAATTTTGAGAGGAGAACAATCTTTCATAGATGTGGAAGTATTATAGTTTCTTCCATCTTTGAGAGTTTGTAATCAGGTCAATAGGGGTGGCATGCTTTTACATCTCTTAGGCCTGACTTATGCATCGTTGCGTAGCAATTTATAAATCACGATGGAACCTTTACTGTAACGTGGGAGTAGCTACATGTAGTAATACACCATCATTGAGTAGAATATCAGGTTTTTAAGGGAGTAAAATTAGCATCATGCAAGGTTTACTGGCTTGACCTCAAAAGTATTTCCCTCATACTATAATAGGATTTGGACAGGATCGATGCGTCTTGTAAGGACACCACGCACACACCCACTTGAGGTGAAAGTCAACGAGGGAATATCTGATTGACTGATATCCCCCCTCTCTCACTCTTCAGCGCCAAGTACTTCACCACCCCTCCCCCGACATCTCTCCCGATGCACAAGCCGTAGACGGCTCCTGTGTGAAGTGATTGGAGGGCTTGCAATCGGACGATATCGTTTTCATCCCGACGACGACACCTTCCAAAGAGAAAAATCCATTAAGTCGAGGGAAATGTAATTCCCTGTGTATGTTTGAAATCAAATTAAGAGGTACCAAGTGTGAATAATTGCCAGGTCCGAAGGAGAGGGATGGGAGAGCGAGCGTTGAGTCTGCTGAATTGCGATTAATTGCAATCACTTCTGATATTCCCCGGAGAGTTTGGGAGAGCTACTGAGTCTTCGTTGCCTTAGCAGGGAGACTCTGAAGCTTATTCTGTCTGATTTATGTGGATTTGATCCTCTCTGATGTTCCAATTTGCCCAACCTAATTGGTGGCAGAGGTCTGATGGTTTCATCAAGCGGTTGATCCGTGGATAGGTTACCAAGGATAGTATGCTACGGGGCAGTTTGGCATTTGTGAATAAGGATTTATCTTGGACTACCAGTTTGGAATGATTCTTAACTGAATTTCCTAATACTAGGTAAGTAGATCACATTGATACCTACTGGTAAAGGAAATCACTCTTCTGAAACAAGGAATAGGCCCATTTACATGGCAGAAAAAAAACAATTAGAATTTTTTGAACAACATTTTAAATCTACTGTAATAAAAACATTTTGTGTTTTTCTTTTTCTGTTGTTGTTGTTTATTTGTTTAATTTCTGGGGGGGGGGCGGGGTATGCACATGTGCCATTTGCTGCTGTTCTGCATGCATTAGCAAGGATGCGAGGAAAAACCACTCTCCAGAGAAGGGTTTTTTGTGATTTTATTTTTTTGTCATGTTTATGGGTAGTTGCCTAGCAACTTCTGATAAAACTCCAGAATGTGAGAAAAATCATGGTTTTTGCTTGCAGTGTAAATGCAGCTAATGATCCAGTTATTGATAAGTTCTCTTTAATCTGCCTTCTTTCTTAGATTCAAAGAGAGCACTACAATTTAAAGGTTTGGCTTACACAAGTAGCAATTAAATATGTTTTCATTTAAAATGCATCTTTTGAATTGTCAGATTGAATTTTGATGCCGATCTCAATACTGTAAATCTCTGTGTATAAGGCACACTTTTTTGCCGCCGATAAAATTTGAAAGTCGGGGGTGCGTCTTATACTAATTTTTTTTTTTTTTTAGTTTCGATTTATGGCGCTATGCCTGGCAATGTCTCCTATGTTTTCTATAACAAATGGTGTACCACAAGGTTCTATCCTAGGTACTCCATTATTAGAAAGATAGAGGATGCTATTCATATCATGCATGACTATTGATGTTTGGCATAGAACACAGTGCTTCTGCTAGGTGATGTGATGAGGCTGGTGTGGGACACTTGGTATCATGAAGACTTAGACTGTTGTTACTATTATTTGTGACAAGCTCACAACTTCAACTGCACCTCGATGTAAAATGAAGGTCCTTCCCCGCGTGGGTTTTCGGCAACAAAACAACAACAACAACAAAACAAAAAACTTTTTTTTTTTTTTTTTTTTTGCCCCCAAAATAGGGGTGCGCCTTATACACGGAGATTTACGGTACTTTCATATGCAAGGCATATTTTGCATACAAATTAAGTATGTACAAAGCATTAATGACCTTCTCGCTCTCATTGGCCATTATCTTGCAATGCAATCTAAGCAAAGTGCTCTGACTGTCGATCCTGACTTTAAGCAACCCCACCTTTGGAGCCCGTATCTCATTCCTCCCAAGGAATACATTGAATCTCATCCTAGATACATGGATAACAACCTGTTAAGCTAGCTCCCAAAGCAGGGTCCCTGATGATTTCTTATCTGCATCGGAAAGAGATGAGCTGCTTTATGTAGTAACTTGTATGCAGAAACATACTGCACCCTCTTTTCTCTGGAATAAATGGGTAGACTGAGGGCAAAGATTTAATTATCGGTGGAGAGCATCAGCTATTTTCTGGCTCCCACGCACCAAGGGTAAGTGCAGAAGGAGGTTAGAAAATGGGTGAAGGATATGAGAATGGAAAGAATTGTGGATATTTCTACAGTCTTGAGATTAACCGTAGGGTGCAAAATTGCAATATGCATTAAGCTCTGATGATCCGTGGGCGTTTCACATTAACGGAATGGTGGGGAGATCAGATGAGTTTGTTTTTTCGGCCGGAGCGATGTAGCAGAAAATTGGCACAATACTACAATTAAACAGGCAATTTGTTGTATCTGATGAGGGTTGGGCTGTTATATCGTTTAGAATTTAGAGGTTTATTGTCAACTTGTTGATGTTATCTGCTGAGAGCCAGGAGAAGCCTTCTCTCCCGAAACTGATGAAATAACAAGATATGAAGTTATCTTCTTTCAACAAAATTTAAATGATTTTTTCTTGATATAATGTAGGTTTTTAAATGTAAGTATATTAAAACCATTGTCAAGTATAATGAGCAACAGGAATATCAAGCAAAGGAAGCATGTAATAGGCTTCTACATGTATCTTACTGGAAGGAAAATTGAATGAATTGATAGGCCCTTTTTATCTTCGTGAAACAATATTGGTAAGAACAAAAATGTCTATCCAGAAGATAAGTATTTGTGTAACAAAAGAAACAAGCACAGAAATCATGTCTAACGCATTAATAATAACACTTGAGAAAACGAAACCCATTGGAAAATTAGTGTTGATTTTAAAGGAAATTCAAAAGTATCACAAACTGAGTAGAAATATTTTGTGCTTAGAGTCAAAATATTGTTAACTGTTGCTCAACATTTCATCATACTAATTCAAGGCAAAGGTACATATATTTTGGAACTGTAAATGAACACATATGAAAGGTGCTCTTGACGTGAAGGGATGCTTAGAGGGGCCTAGTCTAATGTATCTTGCATAAATGCAGATTGCAATGTCTTCAGGCTTTATTTGTCAACGCAAAGCAATAAAGATGAGGTTATATTAGCTCAAGAATGAGGTACACTGGACATGGCTTTAAAAGGGGTAAAACGGCTACTGGGGAAGCCTTAGGGTGTAGAATGTCTGAGTGATTGATTAGAAAATGAAAAGAGAGAGTTTTGACAGGTCAAATTATTCACAGCACCTTTAATTCAGCTTTTTTAAAATGTAATTTGGTGATTGAAGGTTTTCAATAATCCTCCCTGATTATGTATTTTACTGCAGGGAATTTGCATTAAAAGAGCAAATGTATTGCAGATGTAAGGAATGAAATAGAGAATTTTGGGGAGAATATAGACCCCTTGTAGGTGTGCCTGGTGTGCCTAGGTGTCCATATTAAGATATAAAGGTCAAGTTTGTATTTTACATCACTAGAGTAATTGATATGCTTGCTTTTTTCTAAGATATTGTTAAGGGATAGGATATGTAGGTCATCTATACAAGGCATATATCTGAACTTGGGTGATAGATGAGATGTGAGTAGGTGGTGTGGATTAGGAAACGTATGGTTTGAAAAAAGACAAGGAATAAAAGGGAGAGGTGCATGTTGGAGGCGGGGAAAAGATATATGTAGATGTGAGAAATGGATTGATTGATTGAGAGAGGGAGAGAGAGAGAGAGCGAGAGGGGGGGGGGGGGGGGGGGGAGAGAGAGAAGAAAGAAGGAAAGCAAGTTGATTGAAGTATTAAAAGACCTTGATGGAATTAACAAAGATATAGCGGTAGCGGGAGATAGGGATTGAGCAATGTAGGAAATAGATGACGGGACATCATATTTCTAAATTGGGAATACCTTTGTGAATTGCCTTCAGTAATCTTAGATGAAACATTAAACATTACCAAGTGGGATGCAAGATGAAACCTAAAACATTGCCTCTGGCATATCCAGGGGTAGTTCAGTCGGGTGCATTCAGACATTTTCTGTATGAAGCATTGAAAAGCTGGTAATGCAACATCTTCAAATCACTCATGTTCCAATTATAGGGAGGCATGGTTAAGTGTATCTGTTTACAGAGGAAGAGGAGGGGGAGGGGGAGGGGGGTAGATAGCTGGAAGGTAGACGTGCTTGAAGATGTTATTTCAGTGAGATACATTCATAAATGCATCCTTGAGATTGATTGGCCATCCCAGATACTCTCAAGGGCCTGTTTTCCAACCTGCCCACATGTCAGTGGAGCGTGTCGTAAGATGATTACAATCGATCCCCCGCATCATCCAATTAGAGCTCTCCATTTAGGTTGCCAATTTGCCTGCTTATTTGTCCATCATCGGCATAAGGATGTCCTCACCTCGGGTCTGATGCTGAAAGAATTTTAACAAATTTCAATGTCATATTCAAATCACAGAGATTCCATAATGATGGAAGCATGTAGTAATCAGTGAAGAAATTTCAGTGTGATGAATGATTCAGTAGTCAAAAACAACAGAAGAGCACTCAAAAATTAAGAAAAAGAGCTCTTTAAAAAAAAAAACGGACTTAAATGAAAGAATGAGAAATTAGCAAGAAAAGTTGACTTATAATATAGCAAATCTGAAACACCACGGGTGAAGAAAAAAAAGGCAATTTTTTACTCCATGATCGATACAGTCAAAACACTTAACTGTCTGCGCCGGAGTTTATAGGAGGATAGAGATTTCAAATGTAGCAAAGCAAAAGAGGTATAAAGTCTTCTCAAGAGTTTAACCTATTCAACTTCATCAGATAAACCAAAATCATGCAACATTTGTCATGTTTTTGTAGTTCTTAACATTTGGATTGAATTTCATTTGATTTTCTGAAATTTTAAAATCATTTATTACCATTTATTATATCAACTCAAGATGACTTTCTAGCGCATTTGAAATCAAGATCAGTCATCGTGTAGGTTGGTTTGACGTATCTCATAACGTCATGGAAACGACATTTGGTAAGAATGGTTTGAAGAAGAGAACTGGGTCACTACTTAGTGACTTGAAGATGGTATATCAGTGTCTTCACTCAAAGTAAGTGGAGTGCTACTAATCCCAAAACGTCTTGGTACAATTGAATTATTTCTCATTTGCCTCACTCTCCCTCCCAGCCTCCTCCTCCTCCTCTCCCTCTCAGCCTCCCCCTTCCCCCTCCCTGCCCCTCTCCTCCTCCTTCCCCCTCTCTGCCTCCTCCCCCTCCTCACCTCATCCCTTCCCTCACCTCTTCCCCCCTACCTCCCTCCCCCTCTGATTGCCAGTTGAAAATGGTGTTAATTGATTCCTATCACTCCATTAAGCACAGGAGGGCATGGTACCTCAGAGCCTCCTCCCTCCCCCTCCTCCTCCCCACCCCCCCTCCCCACCTCCCCCCTCCCCACCTCTTCCCCTCCCTTCCTCCCTCCACCCTCCACCCTCCACCCTCCACCCTCCACCCTCCGATTGCCAGTTCACAATGGTGTTAATTGATTCCTATCACTCCATTAAGCACAGGAGTGCATGGCGCCTGCCTCGGTGCTGGAGTATCCATTAGTCCTTAGGGACAAGAAATCATGAACTTGACTTTGGGTTGGTTACACAGATTTCCATTAGCTTCTAAAGGTCTTCTCAACCTCTTACATGGATGAAAGATGAAGTCCTTCCAGGAATCTACATGCAAGACTGCAAAATAATTATATCTCTGGAACAGACCTGGTTGAAATTAAGCTGAGAAATGAGCAAAGATGGAAAATTAAATTAAGCTGAACAGCAAAGCGAATGACTTGCTAAGAGCCAGAGCAAATACTGATATCATTTTACACAGAGTTACCATTCTTCAGGCGCTTGGCAGATGACGTTATCTCAATTATGCCTATAGATGCCTTTAATGTACCGGTAAGCAATTTTCTGGAAGTTCTTTTTTTGTTTTTCTCATTCTTACAACTCATTCTATGATTAAAAGAAAAGAAAAAATTCAGAGTGACTTGGCAATTTTTTATTGAGAATGCCTTTTTATAAAAAGAAGTTGTGAGAAAATTGGCGTACATGTACCTCAAATAATCAGATGACGAAGGAAACCTGATCATGTACTATCCCTATGGTGATGATGATGTCATTGTGAAAAAGGACTGTAATTCTATCTCTAAAACTTACCATTTACATCATCTCAGGATTGACTTGTGATGTCTTGCGTTGGAAGTTGGAAGTCATTCAATTTAAAGAGAAGGTTGAGTTCTGGGAAGAGGTGAAAAATAAATTGTGAGCATTACTCATTCTTATTATGCAAGTGTGGAAGAACATCAGTTAAGACTTGTTCCCTGAAAAGCATGGCTCTTCAAATGCCTTCATATTCTAAATATACATGTAACATCGTAAAAATCGGGGGCCGGCTTTTAACGCCACGTGTTCGTGTAGTCCCATATACATCTTTCTGTGCAAGTGTTTGTAACTTTACCAAGACTTGGCCAAAATTCTTATCATTTTGATGATTCCAGAACCTTGCAATACACACAAATTCTTATATGCTAGATGATCAACCTGTTCTGGTCGGTTCCACACCGTTTCTTTCACAATGCAATCGCATGACCAGAACTCAACTTCATCTTTAAACAAGATGGAGTGAGGAATTGAACAAGCCATATGAACTCGGACGGGAGAAGCTGAACATTATTTGCCCTTTAGGAAATATGTGTGGACAGGCAGACTTTAGATATTTATAGAGAGAATGTGATATTTAACATTGTATCGGTTGTCATGGGAATAGATGATGGCATGAGATGTGGTTATCTACCTATCAGATTCCATATATATATCGATTGGGAGCAAATTTGGATTGGCTATAGTGATTGGAGTATTGAAGATAAATGGAGGAATTCAACTGAATGAAAAGTGAAATTGAACAGTAGGGAGGGGCTCAGTTATATAACACACAGAAGTACATAACAACAGTCAAGGAAGTAAGGGAATGGAAAAAAAGGAGGAGGAGAGAGAGAAAGAGAGAGAGAGAGAGAGAGAGTGGGGATGACAGATAGAGAGAGAGAGAGAGCGTGAAAAGGGAAGATAAAGAGATGGGAGAGAAAGAGAGAGAAACCGGAGAGAGAAACGGGAGAGAGAGAGAAAAAAAATAGGAGAGAAAGATAGAAAGTAGGAGAGAAAGAGAGAGAGAGAGAGAGAGAGAGAGAGAGGGGGATAGAAAGAAAATAAGAAAAAGGAAGGCAGATGAATAGACAGACTGAAAGACAGATCCAGCTAAGGTAGTCATGCAGCTGTAAATAAAATAATTTGGTTGCCTGGGAAAAATAGTAGGCAAACAAAACTGAAATAGAAATGCTTAATAATAATATCTTCATATCTTCAGCTGCAAGCTAGTGTGAAGTTTGAACTCCAATACATAGTAAGGCTCCAATCACTTGCCATGGTACTTAGCAAATTTTTAAAATACAAACTTCTCTGGAGGAACCTGTGCCTTTGGTGTTTGTTTGTTTTTATGTGTATGTATGTTTTTTAAATATTTTTTTAAAATATTTTTTTTAAAGTACATGTATGACACCATAAACTTGTTGTTAATCTTCATCAACTTTGGGAATGTGTAGCTTATGTTTAGGTTTAGGGTTAGGTTTAGGGTTAGGTTTAGGGTTTGGTCCAGAGATGATGTTTCTTTTTTTCAGATGTATTTGTGCAGAACATCACAGCTTTGTCTTTATTATAGAAGTACATGTATATCATCATTATTGCACATTCAATCTTTTAATGAGAAAATTGCAAAGATTTCACGTAGTGAAAAGAAATAATGGTTTGGAAAAATGTGTTTTTCTCAAAAGTAACATTCTACACGCACTCCGTTCAACAGTTCTCTCATAGTCTAGCATGATATGCATTGCAATGTATGAAATTTCAAATGATGCCATTATAAGAGAGGATTGTGATCAGTTATATGGAATTTGAGATCATTTGATGGATGAGTCTAATCCCTCTGGAGGTTTGTTTGTTGATAAATTAGAATATTCATGAATCTCTGCCCACTGTAAAGTTTCCTTCCCAATCAATAATAGATAGGAGATAACCAGGGTTAGATAAAGTGATCTGGGTAATTGATTAATGCGGTGCCTTTCTCCATCAATATCCCAAGTGGTCTTTCCGTGACCACTCTAAAATTTATGGACTTTTCTGGGAGAAATACATCTACTGTCCATAATACACTAAATATTTGATGCAAACCTAATCTTGTAAAAGTAAAAAGAAAGGAAATATTAAAAAATTCAGGATACACAGCATCCCATGATGAGAGCCAGAAAGCTGTTAAGTCTTTGTTGTAGTAAATGTATGAGTTATGCCCTTCTTGCTCAGATGATTCATTCTTAAAGGGAAAGTTCACTCTGATGCAGAAAAAGAGAAAAACAGGTCAGTGAAAGTTTGAGAAAAATCTGATTAAAAACAAGAAAGTTACACATTTTTTAAGTTGCGATCAATCAAACACATATTGGCAAATCTGTGATGTATCTTCAAAAATGTATAACTTTCTTATTTTTAATTGGATTTTGCTCAAACTTTTTAATTATTTGTTTCTCTCTGATTTCTGCTTTTATTAGTACCAGCTAATTATCAAGGTGGACTTGAATTCCCCTTTAAAAACCCAGTACCTCCTGACAGGCACATGCATTATTCAACCTGCATACACACATTTCATTTTTAAGAGAAACGGGGGAAAAAAAGAGAAATTTTTCAATTTCTTCCAGTCAGTGCAGATTTTGTAAAGCCCATTTACTTGATATTGACAATTTGGCATCATTCATTAGCTGACCATTTCCTACTGGGGATAAGTAGTATTGCCCGCTTTATCAGCTTACGGAGCCTGGCGCTTCAGATTTATTTGCTTGGCAATCTCCCTTAATGCTCTTCAATTGGCCTTTCCCTAGTATTTTCGGCTAGCACCAATTGATCGGAACCGGCATTTGTCTGTCAGGGAGACATTTATCATTTGTCGAAATACCCCGGTGCACTGTGGGAGTAACTCCTGACAGAGTGAATCAGGATAATGGAATCAACGTAACAGATCCGTCCACAGAAAATGACCTATTTTTGTTTGCTGCTTGATGTATGTTAACATGTGTATCAAGAGAAGATATGGAAGCATTATGTAATTTTGTCTTGTATTAGTACAGTGAAACCTGTCTATAAAGACCACCCAAGGGAGACAGGAAAAGTGGTCTTCGTAGGCAGGTGGTCTTTATGTACAGGTTCTTTTAGTACACGTTTCATTGAGAAACCATTTTCAAGGTACACAAACAAATTTGGTCCGTGTAGACAGGTGGTTTTTCTATACAGGTGGTTACTAAAGCAGGTTTGACTGTTTAACAAATCCTTTAAGATATAAACATACAATAATAATTGGTCTTTAGGGTGATTTTGTCCTAAAGCTCTATAAGAGCCTCTCTGAATTAATTTCTGTCATTGTATGTTACGACCCTCTTTAGATATAATAATAATGGTTTATTTATTTTAAATGATGCATCGCATCCTGAGGGCTGAATTGTATAATAATTTTACACAAATTATTTGCATGATGAAATAATACACAAAATATAATCATAAAGAATAAAGGCTATAATAACTACATTGGGTAAAAAGTGAAAGTTGGATTAAGTTATGAAATTTTGACATGTCACATCTTCAAAGTCGATGTTCGAGAGGGTCATGACATTTAAAGGGATCCGGTAACTTTGTCTCAGATTCTGAAACAAAATTTTGGATTTAGCTAATGATGCAATGATAATTATAAACCTTTAGGTAAGTCAGGAACCCCATTATTTTTACAAGCCGATCGCCTGTCTGATTATCAAGATATTTATGATTGGAATTACAAATTTTGAAAACCGTTCGCCTGACGGTTTTCATAACACTACAGTCTATTGGGGAAAACGAGTATGGTAAAACCGGTCACTCAAAGATGTTTACTTTTTTGAGGCACTTCTTGATCATTTTGAAGCGCAATTTTTTTAGGGCTTCAATATTACACCATATCACAGGCACTGATAACACGTAGGGCCGTGTATCTCAGATTTAACATTGTTAAACGATCCCTTTAAGACGGCAGTTAAGATGCATTGAACTTGTTTCGATCAGAGAACGTGACAAGTTGAGGAGACATCAAGGCAATGCCTTTAGGACTCTGCCCCCGCTGGATTGGATAGGGCATTTCCAATGTTTGAACAGCTTTACCTTAACCACACAAGTTTTATTTTACTATTTGTGTGATTATTTAGATGCTCAATCATGAAGATTTCTTGATGGTTATATATCATATCTAACCACCCGATGTCCCTTCTTTTGAGCTGTGTTCAAAGTCAGATCGTCCATTTGATGGTTGGCTTCATGCTCGAGGAATCGTAATCAGGTTGATTTTAATGATGCTCTTTTGCCCTTCAAGAGTGTAATTTTAGCCTTGTGATGTGCCTAATTGCACACAAAGATGCCTTACTTTCAGGCTCTTTTTGCTAGTTTGTGTCCATACCTGTTTTTAAGGTCATTTTCTGCCTCTTTGCTTATTTTTTTCCTTTTTCCGATCCCTATGGTTGCAAGAGGTCTCATTAAGCTTATAACACGAAGCTACCAGACCTGAAGGCCTTTCTCTATGTTATTTCTAATGGATGTTCAAGTTTGTATGCTAATGATCAAAGGCCCCTTCCTGCATTTGAAGGAAAAGCATCATTATCTGCATTTTAAGGAGGATATCAGAACACACCTCCTTGCTCCTCCAACATCCAAGGACACGATTAACTAGTTCAGCTGTTTCCCAGTCGGCCATTTTGAAAAGGCCCATTAAGAAATATGTTTTAAAAAGTTGTTTTGAAAATATTGCATATTCATTGTGAAGCAAATGATGGGTCAGCAGTTTCAGTCACAATTTTAATGAATGATGTTTACAATGTGTGTGGGAGTTTTGTATGTGGTATGTTGACATATGTTTTCCTGTCTTCTATTAACGATGTCTTTTACGTAAATTAAAAATGCTTTTTGTTTTTTTGATATACTATATGTCTTTCATCTCAATATGAAATATGGAAATGCCTTTGTTGATAGATATTGCTCAGGCCTTTTCTCGGTGTGTCATATGTCATATCTTGGTAAACAAGAAAGAAGAGAATGATTTGTTCACTATCATTACAAGTTGTATTTTTTAAGTACCAGGGTATATAAGAATAAGATATATTAAGTGAATTCTTCAGTGTTGTTGAATTATGTAGTAAAAAAAATGTGTTTTGTTTTATTGATATGATCTTCTCTTTATTAGAGCAGAATGCAATTTAAAATATCTTTTAAAACTGCAATATTCAAAACTTTTACAAGGATGATACTATATTTTGGGAAAGGGTTAGTTTTTTCAGACAGTACTGACGATTTTTAAATTATTGGATTTGGATTGAAATAAAATAACCTATTGTTTTGGTCTGAATTGACAGTATAAAGGCACCATAACAAATAAATTTCATAAAAATCTTACCTTTGAGTAGTTCACCGTGTATTAGATTGATATGCCTATTGAATTTTGCAAAACTGATATTCAGTTTTATCACATTATATTGATACATTTTCTCTCTTTTTATTCAGGATTAAAAGTACCGACCCACTTACTATTTTCTGCTCGGTCTATTTAAATGCAAATTTATCAATAGACCTCCAAGGTTATACCGAGTGCAGGTTTTGTTTACAAATTTGGAGTAGAAATGAATTTGTGCTTGGTGCATGGAGGTAATATTACATGGGTTCTATTTGTAGTTATTCAGAGGTCAAATTCCACTCTTTGACTGCTGTGTTTATTCCTGATTGCTGCTAATATCACACTCTGTTTAGTACTCCACATTCCATTCTGCGAGGGAATATATCGCTCTGTTTTTCATTAACAGAGAGAGAGAGGGGGAGGGAGGGGAAGAAGGAGAAGGAGAGAGGGAGAGCGAGTCTGAGTATATAGAAATATGGAAAGAGAGGGAGAGAAGGAGGGAGAGAGCTCTAGAGATAGAGATAAAGAGAGGGAGAGAGGGGGAGGGAACATCATACACTCAATAGAAGAAACATTCTATAGATGAAAATACATTTAACAAAATGTATATTTGTATGAATCAGCCAGTGCTGGTAATCTCCCCCTAAAACATATGAATTTATTTTTTGAATTTGCAAATTATTATTTTAATTTTTACCTGATCCCCAGCTGCGATAAATTTTGAATGCATGTTCATAATTTGGGATACAGTGTAAGCTTGATGCCCTGAACATTAAAGCCTCCATCTTAACTTATCATTGAAGAGGGTCATCTTGACAAATAATTTAGGACCACATTTTCAAGCCCCCCCCTCCCCCCACATCTACTTTTGTTGCTGTTTTGCATTCCAACAAGGTCTCGTTCATGCAGAGGCAGACAAACATTCAGTATAAAATTAAACTTTGAACCCTGTAAAGTAATGGTATGCAATAATATTCATGGTTTATGTCATATACTGATCAAATATAAGATCTATAATTTCAATTCCGGGAATAACATCTTAACAGGATCTCCATGTCTCCATGTCAATAAGCATTTATATACAACAATGATTCAAAGCGGAACAGTAGTTTTTAAAGCTTCAAGTATATTGTTGTCATCTAGTCTTGTGACTATCTGATGGTTTTTGCCCTTAATATCTTGTATTTCTTTAAATGCTGATGTCTCTTTTGAAAAATTAGAAAATTCAAACTGAAGATCACATTAAAACATAGTAAGATACTTATACTCCTTTTACTCCTGATTATACATAGCTCTAAAAGAAAGCCAAGGCCTGAATGATATGAAGTCATTCATTGTTGACATAAACTTTGTACAGTTCATGATTTTACATTGCTGCAAATGGTTGTGGTCACATATACATGTAGTGAGAATACACTTTGGCCGTACATTGTTATCCATGTGGTTTATACCCCTTTTAATATGTAACTTCAGCTGGCAATATATTATAATTTGAATTGTTTCCATACTTTGCATACAGAGGTTGTTAGCACAACCTTTATACCGCGTTCCAGGCAAGGCAGAACTAATCATAGCTCATGTGTACCAACACAAAATGTTACTTGACAAAAGAAAGTAAATAGGGACTTTATGATTTGCAAATCGAAAAAGTCCCTAATGACATTGCATTTGGAACAGCCGAATGTAATGGCCCATCACCAGATCGGCTGTAGAGGAAACAGTGATTAATTTGAATACATGACTATAACGGTCCATTGCATGATAAATGCGGATGATGAATTAACTTCCTCGCCTGTTTGGGCCCAAGCTTCAAGTACATACAGGCATTCTTGTAATACAGTGAAGTCATCATGAATTTTTTGGTTATTGATTTGGAATATGAGAAACTGGCTCCGTTCAAAGTCTGATCTGAAGTATTTACCAAGTGGGCAATGTCATGCCTGAGTACTGATCTCGAGGAGCTCTACCAAGTACGTGGGAATCGGTCTGTGCCTGATGATACATAGACATTTGATAGATACGAACATGTAATTCAAACAGATCAATTTAGTTCTTAATAGCCAAAGCTTTATGGGTTATTTGCATAATGGCAGTGCTTATGTTGTGTGGTTGGATTAGCAAATGCCTGTGGTACCAGTCAGTGCGTTGTATATATCCTGGTACTAGTAATTAGTTACATCCGTATTCACTGCAAGATACAAGTACCAATATTCAGAATGCATCGCCAAAGTGAGTATTAGTTTCTGTATTTTGTTATGAAAGAATTTGCAAGGTGCATGCAGACTGGATGAAATATCATAATAAGATGGTCATCATCTGCTGTAAAAATAGAATTTATCGCATGTACCAAAGTGTACATTCTTTAATTCAAATCATTTTACTCTCCAACTAAATTGATCAAGTTTATTTTGCCTATTTCTTCAGTCACCCCGGCAAACTGAATCTAAACTGACTCTTTTTTTGTTACCATTTGGTGTAATTTCTCATTTGATCTATTGTCAATCTGGCATTGGTAGGCGTGACAAGGTTCTTCACTAGTAATTGTATACTGATTCTAGCGTATTTTTATTCTGATTAATAGGCAAGACTATGAAATCATGCTAATGATTTTGTTTGATCAGGGTATAGCTTTGGTCTTGGAGGTCTTGAAAAATAGGTACACATTGTTCGGAGACGTATGCTTGCAGTTAGAAATATGTTTTGATAGCTATAATACTCATACGACGACGGTGCACGTTTTAACTCGAAAATGACAATATTGAGGTCTCTCCATAACTTTTTACCTGTCAATTCAGCTGAGTTGATAAACCTGTTACATGCATATTCAAGTAATAGTGTATGTTCTAACTTTAAAATGACAATATTTTGGTTTTTCCATAAATTTTTACAAGTCAAATCAGTTGAGCAACTTGAGCTTGAGCTGATAAACCTGTTAAATGCATATTTGAGAAGTTGTTTTATAAGGTGAGAAAAAAAATCCCAGATAAAGAAAATAACATGCATTTGATTCTCTATATACAGTACATGAGGTGTGATAAATCATGGAAGTGGGTAATTCTATCCACTGTGTCCTTAAGAGCTGCAGAGAAACCTCATGTCCTAACACCTCTGAATGACATGATATAATGCTGTATGATCTCTCGTGTCTTGATTGAGCTTCAACAAGTGTATCTATCTCTCTCTCTCCTCAAGAGACTACATACCTTCCCCTATTAGTCTGGAGGACATTGGTTGAATAATGGTCCAAATCAGATCAGTGACGGAGGTATTCAGATCAATGGTCAGTCATCCTCATTATTCCAAGGCCCACTAGCCATTGGTTGCGTCCATCCATGGTCCAGCAGACCACTCCGGACTGTGTCTTCTCATCCCCTGTGAATGAGGTTATTACAGTTTGATGAGGATTATACAAGTTCTGAGAATAGTAACGTTTGTATGCCAAACTGAGCCATAAAACCCTGTTTTATTTTGTGTTCACCTTGTTAAAATCATTCAGCCGTTACTGGGAGCGGGATATCTCTTGTTGTCACTCTTGTTTTCTTCTTTTGAGGGTAAGGCTTTTTGTTACAAATAGGACTATACCAAAGTGGCTTAGTTCATTTCTGCAGAATGGCGTGTCCCGGGGCATCGTGTTCCGAAACTGTCCTGACATATATCCCATTGAAATGCATGTTAAATATAATGTTTGCATTTCAAATAATGTAATGTGATTATGATGGTTTTGTGAAACGCTTCCCTAGATTCTTACTGTTTCTTAGTTAGTATTCTTTTCATTTCCCCCCTTTTTATAAAAGTTTTTGTGTTGGCTCGCATCCCCTGCATGCATTGAGGCGGGTCATGTTTCTTGAAGTTGAAGGTGTTCCATCATGTATTGTCTGTACCTGGTAGTAATTGCATAATAGACAGCTCAGTGGCAGCAAGCATGTTGGAATGTCACATCTAGACCAGAAAAAAAGGAAATAAAAGAAAAGAAAATGAGACAAGGATTTAGGACTGACCTGGACTGACCTGGCAGAAGTTTTAATACCAAGGTATTCTGTTATACCTGATGTCACAGTAAATACTGTCCCCCTCTTAAGCCTGGTCGTGTATTGAATAGCTTGTGATGTACATATAGTGTGTGCTCTTATCTTGCGAAGAAGTGTGTATGTGTTACTGAGAAAAGATCGAAATTTTGGTAGACTACAATGAGATCTTCTCTGATTTTGTTTAAAGAAATTCAGTTTGAGAAAAGCTATCAGACTTAACAGCAGTTATTTTAGTTTTATCACTTGACAATAATAAAAACATAATTATGTGTTTGCTTTTTACTATGTGCTCCAACAGTAATAAAATCATTAGATTAGATATATATCATTCCAACTTGCATGAAATGGTACGCATTGTTTCTTTGCAGAATAAATACCTCTTGTTCTCAAAGTTCATTCAATATCATATCTCCTTTATCATGAAATATTTATTTAAATCAACAAACTGTCTACGTGGGGCCCATACTTTAATTGAAAGTTTGAAACATACTTGTACACCTGTATTCACATTATTATATTATTACATTGTCAGAGATGTCCATTTTGCTCTTTGGTAACATGCCAGAACATGAAGGGACATAGGAATGTCTTTATTTTTAATGACGTTGCGATCTCTGTTTATAGCAACCGCTGTCAGACAGTCTCTTGGCAGTAGCAGAACTGTAAATATTGTCTACAAGGATTTAAAAAATTGTTTAAAAAAAAATTGTATTGATACATATGAATTAATGTCCCTCTAGCTCTCTAGTGATCATATGATTTTCTTTTTGCACGTGTGAAAGAGAATGAAGTCACCATTTTTCCCTCACAATTTGCCTGAGATACCAAAAGCGTGTTATTTACTCCTTTTAGTTGGTTTGTATCCCGTAGATAGATACAGTGTATATTGGCATGCCATTTAATACTACAAGTGCATGAGCACAGCGCAGCATTCCAGGCTTGTCACTTCATGCACAGAACAGAGTCTCATGTTTGGGAGGGTTCACTAATTTTACCAAGTCAACATTTCACTCAGCGTTGTGGTACGTAGCCTCACAGCGGTGCACTTTACCCAAAAATGCGCTCAGCGTAGTCTGCTGGTACCCTTGGAAGCCCTCGTGCATCGGAGCATAGAGACAGTGTTGGATAATGGTCTCGGTCGGTCAGAGCTAGCAGAGAGAGAGAGAGAGAGGCTAGCACCGCTATCTCTATGTTATCATTGATTGTCTAGAGGTACAGGTGTGTATCCCTGATTGTCCACTTTGCTTGGTGGAATCATTGCCCGCCTGGCCGGTCTGTTTGCTGGACACTGGACTTCTTGCAATCATCCTGCTAAATGATGTTTGCCCAGCATAGCTTACACTGATTCAGGATACCGTGATTCTTTTATTCTCTCTGGCTTGTGCCTATTCTGACTGAGCTTTGAATTTTATGGGATGTTATTACGGAATGGAATGTCACACCAAGGCTTTGGTCGTTTTATGGAGTTTTATAGTGGATAAATGCAGCTGAACGATAGCGCTACCAGAAGAAGAGGTACTGAGTTCAATTCTGGCATCTCAAAAAGGAGGTGGTTCAAGAGTTCAGTGGATTCTAAAGGGACATTATTGATTGGATTATTATATGTCATGTTCTGGATGTGCTAATGAGGAATAAATATACACCATTGGAATACTATGTCATAATAATCTGTGCATGTGTGGAAAACAGTCTTTGAATCTTGGAAGCGGGAAGAAGTTGTGAAAAGAAGAATATTTATTTTACTGTGAGCCTGCTCATCATATTCACAAGGTATATGAAAGGTTTGTGTTATCTGTTATACCTAAAGAACCTTTGTATTCTATGGAACTTGTTTTTTGTGAAAATATAATGTATTTTTGTGAACATTGTTACGGAACACCCCCACAAAATCACCTTGAATGGGAGACTCATTCAAAGGATTTAGAGACAAGGTGAAGAATAAGGGAAGTTCTTTTGTATGAAAAAATGTTTGTCTCCAAAATTCACCCTTTTCCCTAGTGAACATTATTTTAAGACTTGGTCCAATGTTATTCTTGCCTCTGTTTTGATTCATGTGTTTTGTAAAGGTTCACATCACTGTATTACAGGGGTGTTTTTGGAGTATATGTGGCTTAAAGAACTGCACACAAAGTGATGTTTGGCAATAATTGGGAGGCTTAGCTCATTAACATGTCAATTAACCTTTGCAAGATTCAGACAAATTATTTTTGTTGCTCAGAATTCTTGCAAACTCTACATGAAGGCCTTTATGTCTTAAATTATTTTGCATGGAGCTGTTTTTATCGACTTGAAACAAAAGAAGAATATGAGCCTATTTATCAAATTTCCTTCAACCTTGTATTTGCCTTTAATAGGGTAAGTACAGTAGAATATGTCAAAGAAGGAAGAGCACCTCGTAAATGACAAAAGAAGTTTCAGTATCATAGTGGTATTTTTTCATGTAAGTGAGCTATCAAATCGATTAGCTGCAAATTACTCTTAGGAGCTGTAAGGAGATCAGCTATGAATGCAAGATGTTCATTTGATTAAGACACGCAGTTTGGATATATCAGGAGATACATGTACACATACCTAATAGAGAGCTAAACAAATCTGTTATAGCACTCACCGTTGCATGGTATTCCATATTAATGCAGAGGGATTATTGAATTGCTGCTATTTTATTCTTCATTTACGTGGATAATTTTCAGATAATGATGGGTAAATATTACTCTCTTATATGTATTCAGTTACTTTTTATGCTCTTCGAAAAGTCCAGTATTGGATGTAAATTATATAGGTCTACTAGTTACCAATTAGTAAAAGTATGAGCTATATATATATATATATATATATTACTCATAGTGTTTCTAAAAATGTGTATATATTGTGTTTCAAATAAAAATGGTAGATGTAGAGCGAGATGAAGAGAGATAGGGATGACGAGGAGAGTAAGATAGGGATTTTTTTCATCTTCTAATGGCTCAACCTTGGATTTAGAGAGTACTGTTTCATCAGTATACTTCTCTGTCAGGTTAATGGCATATATTTCCTTTAGAGATCATAAATGCCATCGATTCATGATCCTCGTACGTTTCCTCTCCATCAAAAGGCCTGTCACCATTAGCCCAGCTAGTTATGATGCAGGGAAGTTAGCCCCATCACAACAAGGTCGAGGAAATATGTGGTGAAGACGTAAACGATGTGCTACTTCTCCTTTGTATTTGGGATAGTAGCTCAAGATATTATAACAAGCAAACTATAGGGCTTGTTTACAATTTTTCCTGCTACATGAATTTCTCAATAAGCATGTTAATTAAGGTTAATTAAGGTGGTGATGATGAACTTTAACACTGGTATGCCTTGAAACTCAAGCTAGTTCCCAGAGTGAGTGGGGTTGCTCCACTTGGTCTTATGGAGATGGAGATGTGGGATGGACCTCAAATTTTGACTTTTTGTTTTGGAAAACGTTGATCATATCAGTCTAATTCCATTATAATATCTGAAGCACAAGCTTGTTTGGGCTAATGGAGAAGCACATGAAGACCAGTGGTTTTTCTCTTTTACATTTATGTATCCATATTTACATCTCAAACCTGAACTTGGTCGGACCAGTGAAAACGCACCTTAGCAGCCATAATATATACTGCATTTATGGATCCATGGTCTAATATCTCAAGCTTAAACTCATTCTGGCTAATGGAAATTCACCCTAAGATCCATTGTACCTACTGCATTAATGTATCCATGAGCTTCCAGCTCCAGGCGATGCCGTCGTCTCTCCTCGATATTTTCTCCGTAACACCGACAAACTCACTATCTTTAGCTGGTCCAATTAAATTTGATGGATGATGTCACATTAATGTTATGTATTTGATTGCACCTATATTAAAATGCTCTTAGGGAAGCGTTATGGAAGCGTTATTGAACTTTAGAGATAAAGAGCTGGGTTAGTCGGCATAGATCAGCTTTTATCATTAAGAAGCATTCCAGAAGGTCTGGTACATTACCAGTGGTAGTCTAGGTGGAGAGGTTGTTTTTTCATGATTCACTTTTTCAATTTTAGGAATTTTTCAGAGTAAAGGCATTTTTGTAAATGTAGAATTATACAAAAAATATGTAACAAATAAAGATTTAAAATATGAAGATGAGTATAAAGTATTCATGAATTACACATTATTCCATCATTACTTGTAGGTCTAATGTGAATTAAAGAGAACGAGTTGGAAGTCTTTATTTGTATTTGGGGTACAAGGGCATTTATCCATAATTGATTAATGATCAGAATGTATGACTAAGAACATGGATGTATGCTTTATTTAAAACAAACTTTGGAAGTACCTTGAGTATGTAATGATGCTTACTTTTGGCTGCATTATTTGAGGTGGAAAATTGTTTTGTAATAAAAGAAATTTCAGTATATTTTCCTGCAATAGGCTTCATAAACTTACGCAATCAAA